TTTCGATAGTGTGCGCGAACAATACGCAATAACTATTTCATTATGATTTACCACTTGAGTGAGGACTCCACCAACTCCAGTATCAGATGCATCGCACTGAATGGTAAACGGTACGGAAAAATCAGGGCTTCTTAAAACCGGTGCCGAAACTAAGGCTTCTTTAATTTTTAGGAATGCCTCTTCTGCTTCTTTTGACCAAATTATACCTTGGCGCTTGCGTTTCCCTTTGAGAAGATCATTAATAGGGGACACTAATGTGGAGAAATCCTTGATGAATCGCCTATACCAAGAACAAAGACCGATAAATCGCTTAACTTCCGTGAAGTTAGTAGGTCTGCTATAATTAACCATCGTGGAGACCTTTTCAGGATCTGTTTTTAGGCCACCATCATTACCATCAATTATGAATCCTAAATATTTTAAGGTAGTTTTAAAAAAATCGCACTTGGCTAGGTTTACGGTTAAATTGGCTTCTTTCAACCGCTCATGAACTTCCCTTAACAATTTAACGTGATGTTCGAAGGTAGATGAAATCACAATAATATCATCAAGATAAACAAAAATGTTGGGCTCAAACCTTGGACCGAAAATCGCATCCATGAGGCGCTGTTGCGTTTGGGGCGCGTTACATAAGCCGGAGGGTAACACACAAAATTGAAAGAGTCCCCTACCGGGCACAGAGAAACTTGTTTTTTCTTTAGAAGATGGGTCTAAGGGAATTTGCCAAAAACTGCTCCTTAGATCAATGGAAGAGATGTATTTAGCTCCTTTCAGCATGTTTAAAATCCGGTCTACTCTGGGTAGAGGATAACGGTCTGGTTTAGTAATGGAATTTAACGTACGCCCGTCGAAGCAAAAGCGGTACTCGCCTGAGCGTTTCTTAACTAATAGTACGGGAGAATTATACGAACCGATGGAAGGTTCAACTACCCCTAACTCCAACATTTTATCCAACTCCCCGTATAAATGTTTCATTAGGTAAGGCGATAATAAATACTGCCTTTGGCGAAAAGGTTTAGCGTCACCTACATCTATAACATGAGTGATTTTATTTGTACGCCCTAACCGATCTTCGCTACTAATGTCACGGAAAAGTGCCTGTATCTCCTCGATAATGGATAATTGTTCGAGGGACCACCTATTGTCGAAATTGCAATCTTGACCAATTTCATTTACTTGTAGTTCTACGTCATTACCGTGGCTGTTGCGAACCCGACACGTTTGGTCTTTAAAATTAATGGAAATACAAAATTTTGTGCAAAAATCGGTCCCCAAAATTATGGTTTGTTTAACAGACGGAACTATCAAAAAAGAAATCATATTAACTGCACCATCTACAACAACGGGCGCATCGACTACACCTTCAACTGGACTTTTTTTTCCATCCGCGACAGTTATATATTTAGTATGAGTCGGTTCCACCTTTAGAGAAAACCTTTCCAAAAAGTGCATACCCTTCCTTCCAATTACAGAACGATTCGAGCCAGAATCTAGTAGTGCAACTAGAGTTGTATCAAAAATACTTATTTTAATATAGGGACGATTATCGAGGCGCTGTTTCTCGAAAGCTGGAGATACAGTGATCTGCTCGGGCGAAATTGATTTGTAAAACATAGAAACAGTATTTAACCATAATTGCCAGCTATCACAAATTAACGATTTGGGCTTAAAATGACAAGGATAATACAGCCCTTTATTATCCTTCACTCCTAGTTTTTTGAGCACGAACACTGCCGTACCGTTACATTAGGTTGACCGCACTTGTAACAGAATATATTCCTTCTTGCGGCACAATTACGAAAAGTATGATTAGGTTGGTGACAATTCCAACACAAGGGTTGAGACCTGGAGTCTTTACTGTTTGAAAAATTTTTATTGTAAAACGACCTAGAACCAGAATTACCACCGGGTCTTGTATTAGTACCACTAAATGTAGACGTACGAAATTCGTTTGAAATGGGTCTAACATTAGTTGAAATTTCATTAACTATTGGCCTTTTAACTGTATTTTGAGTCGCCGTCTTTTGTTTATTTTTCAAGGTATCAGCATTGTCGATTTTTTTACATAACTCTAGCAATTCCGATATAGAACTGATTTGTACAAGAGCTAATGACGTTATATAACATGGCAATAAATTCCGACGAATGTACTTTAACTTGGTTGATTCGCTACGAAATGGCTCCTGCTTAGTTTGAAACCTATCCCTAATCTCTTGCCAAATATCCTCCTCATAATCGCATGGTAAAAATTCCGCTTTAAGTTTAATTACTAATTGGTCCCAATCCAAAACTAACGATTTAACAGATCTAAACCAAACTAAGGCACCGTCTGAGAATAACTCGACGGCCGAATTAAATAATTCTGTTTTGGTAACGTTCCTTGCCACCCGGTAATCTTCTACTTGTTCTAGGAATGATAGATAATAAACTAGAACCCTCTTTTCCCGAAAATTTCAAACCCCATTTGTAAACGGGTACAGATTTATTATAATTATTTACACAATGTTGGATGGTCATGGGTTGTTCATTACTAGAGGACGCGTGAGCTGTATGATTAACATTTCCTAACGTGCTATTCGCAACAACTTTATCCGACAGACAAACTTCCAATTCTAAAATTGACGCAATGGATTCATTCTTAAAAGCTTGGACCACCTGACTGTCATCCCCATCAGTTTTTAATCTGTGGACACGATTAGTAAGGTATAGAATTCTAGAATTAATTCGTTTAAAGAGAGAATCTGTCTCCGTACCATCGAATTCTACAATTAAAGTTTTCAATGAATCTAGGGCTTGTTCTATAATCTCAGCTTCGTTATCAAAATCGTATAACGGATCTACATGAGTAACGTTCGAACGATTCCTATCCTTTTCTAACAATTTATTCAAAATTTTGCGTTTAGTAACTGCATCTTTCCTATCAGAGACTACTCCACGAATACGAAGCTCATAATTCAACTCTTCCGCCAAAAGGTCGACGGGTCTCATCCCTAAGTACTCCATGATAAGGTGTGCTATTAAAACTGATATTACCTGCTTAAGTAAATGCAAAAATATTTCTGACAAATTTTGATGATTTAAAAGTAAGCCAAAATTAAAATATAAAATTTTTATAAACTTCAAACAACAAATTGGGAGGCCCCTAAACGTTGGGCGCCATTGTATTTGCACAATTGAGATGATGTAACGTATGAAAAGGACAAAAAATGAGTGCTCCGACCCAATTACTAGACAGCGACGTCACCTTATGCAATGCAAAAACGAAACACCATATTATTATTAGAACAGAAGTTGGACAACGAGGGCAAGACGAAGAATGCGTAAATAATGGCACTTTTAGTAGTTTACCACCCAATACAGTTTTACATTTAAGCTTTATTCCTAGGTCTCGATTATCAAAGGCAGGGTATTTGACGTGTGTGTGCGGTCATGGAAGTATGTATGATAATCATACGACCAGCTCCATTTCTGAGGTTTCAACAAGGTGTCACTTTCGCACGAAGAGAGAAATGATAGCGTGGATTAAGGGTAAGAAAGACGCGATTGGGTACAAGAGAAACGACAAATTGGAGTTTATTGGTCAACTGAAATCAATGGAGTTAATAAGTCCAGTTTTAGAGACGGTGTATTTAGCGGTAGAGTGTAAGAGTGGCGACGTGCTTCCAGCTCACAGTGACGCGTTAAAGAAAGATGGAACTTTGGAATATGTTGTAGTCCGGTTAGAATACCCTGTTAACAATTACTATGTTGTACATCCAAAGAGGGCTGAATCATGTAGCTCCGTTTCTGGTGCTGGAGTTCCTAAGTCAATGGTTTCTGAGTTTGCAGAGCAGCCTATTCCTATTATCTTTAAGAAAGGATGGTTAAAAAGATCAGACCGCGTGTTACACTTTATACATGACTTTGAGTGTAGTGATTCGGACCCTCGAGGATACGATGGATTCGCTAGACAAGTATGCGAGGACAGCGTTGGCGATTATATATCAGAAATGGCGTCCTTGAAAAGGATGAATAAGAATCGTTATCATCAAAATCAATTAGTATTTGGAATTTCAGAGGGTCGACGATTTGGACGAGTTATAAACATTGTTACCAACAGAGTTAGATGTTTCGACGATTTAGAGTTATATTTCAAAGGTGCATGTGAGTTAGGGGATTATGATACTGTGTTGCTTGGCAGCGGGATTTATGGATACGGTCGAGAAGACGTGAAAGGTCGTCTATTTAATCTTCAAAATCTATTAATTGAGAGAAGGATTAGGCTTTATGTATGGCTGGGGGAGAATGAACGAGGGTTTGAAGACTACGTAGATGATCAGGATGATAAGTCGGTTGCAACTAGTATAAATATTCAAGACGATATAGAACTCGAATCAGATGATACGACCTTAGATGATGTGAATGACAACACTACTTACCTGCAGGAGTTTATGGCGGAGGGAGGGGTTAAAGATATTAATGACTACGCTATGGATAGTTTAACACTATCAGGTCGAAGTAGCCAGAGGTTGAGTACATCTAATAAAGGGGTAGGTGGAAAGGTGTTAGAGTCTATGACGGTTAGTGATCACCAGGTGAAGGATCCGATGTTACACTCGCGGGTGTCAGCATTATCACTTATTGATTTTGAGCTATTAAAGTTTTGTTTCGAATCAGGGGATTCTGATTTGCGTCAAGCGGCTAAATCAATTATGTTAAAGCATTTACATAGGTTGTGACACTGCGGGATGTGATTGGGGAGGTGCGTAATTGCTACTGCTCATTTATATAAAGGTTCAAAAAAAAAAAAGAAAAAAATGTAGGTCGCGACTTTTAACCTTCCAGTACTCGCGCCAAGTCTCCCAGACCCGACGCGTGTTTGAGTGTAAATTTTAAAGTGCGCAGATCATGCTGAGCGTTGCGGCTCTGACTAGCTTTATGTATTCGCATTTAGTATACGATTGTCAAGTGTCGGGTTAAAACGTACGTTAGTTTTTATTTTATAAAGGCATAAAGTCTATCAGACCCAGCGCGAGTAGTGGTGTTATTGTATGTGTTACTTTTCTGGATTGTTAAATTTAGTTTATTCTTGAAGAATAGGTAAGTAATTGTTCAAAGTTGAATATTTGAATTGGTAACCGACGTAGTTCAAGGCATTGCAATTGCGAAAAAGATAATGGGGGATTATGAAAAAGAACAGGCGCGCCTGCTACGCCTGTTTGAAGAAGTAGAACCCGATGAAGACCCGATCGATGAGGAATCTGAAAATGAGGAAGATGGAATTGAAGCTCAGTTAGAGAATAGTGACACAGAGCAAGACGCGGATTCATCTGACAGCGAGGGAAATGAGGAAGGTTCTTCAAAAACGACCAGAGTGCCTTCATTTACCGGAAAGGACGGACAAACAGTCTGGAAAAAATCTGTTCCTAACAGAAAAGTTCGAACCCGACGTCACAACATTGTGATTCATCTGCCTGGTGTAAGACCGCATGGTAAGCATGCAACGACTGCTATGGAATGTTGGGGTCTCTTTTTTTCGAGGGAAATATTAGAATTACTGGTCGAAAATACAAACAAAATGATCAACAGAGTTGCTGATCATTTTTCCAGATCTAGAGACGCAAAACCTACGGATTTGGTTGAAATAAAAGCTCTGTTAGGCCTCTTATACTTGGCGGGATGCCTCAAAAGTAGTCGCCTTAGTGTTGAGGAATTGTGGACCACAGACGGGACAGGTGTTGAAAGATTTTGGTTAACAATGTCCAAGGAGAGGTTTCTGTTTTTACTAAGATACTTGCGTTTTGACGACAAAGAGACAAGAGAACAGCGTAGAGCAATCGATAAATTAGCTCCAATTAGGAATCTATTTGACATTTTTGTGGAAAATTGCAAAAAATATTATACAGTGAGTGAGTACACTACGATTGACGAAAAACTTGAGGCTTTTCGGGGACGTTGTGGTTTTAAACAATATATACCCAACAAGCCTAGTAAATATGGAGTAAAGATTTTTGCGTTGGTGGATGCTAAAACAATGTACACACAAAATTTGGAGGTGTATGTTGGAAAACAACCAGATGGCCCTTATTGTTTCCCAAATGATGCTAAGAGCATTGTTGAAAGAATTGTTGCTCCCATATCAGGAACTGGGCGAAACGTAACTTGTGATAATTGGTTCACCTCATTCCCTCTTATTTTAAAACTTAAAACAGATCACAAATTAACGCTAGTGGGAACAGTGAGGAAGAATAAAAAAGAACTGCCAGCTGAATTCGTGAATACCAAAGCTCGCCCTCTTCAATCAACAATGTTTGGTTTTCAAGAAGAGACAACCATACTCTCCTATGTGCCAAAAAAGGGAAAGAACGTTATCCTTGCTTCGAGCATGCACCACGATGATAAAATCGACATGTCCACGGGGGAAAAATTCAAGCCCGAAATAATAACCTTTTACAACTGCACAAAAGGCGGAGTCGACACAGTCGATAAACTATGTGCTACTTACAATGTGGCACGGAATACACGACGTTGGCCGATGGTCATCTTCTTTTCACTTATGAACCTAGCTGGAATTAATTCCCAGATTATTGCTAAAGCAAATGGCAGCAGCAACGTAAGTGTTAGAAGACTATATTTAAAAAATTTGGCTTTGGCGTTAACCGAAGATCATCTGAGACGCCGTGCTCAGGTTACAAATATCCCACGAAGAGTGCGTGAGAGAAGACAGGAAGTAGCAGGTATAAGTTCTTCCACGGTTGTAGCTCCCTCACCACCTGGGACAAGAAAAAGGTGTCATTTTTGCTCTAAAGACAGTAAAACAAAATATACCTGTAAGAAGTGCAACAAATTTCTGTGTTTAAGCCACGCTGAAATGTTGTGTCCGCAATGTGTACGTATTCATGAAGAAGAGTTTTAGATCTTAATTTTTGTAAAAGCAGCTTGTATGTTTTTAAGCCTTATAGCAATATCCATATCTTAGTTGTATTTTATAATATTTTTAAGTTGATTTTTGTTAAAAAGTATAAATAACTACATTTTCTTTATTGGATTGTATTTCTTGGAAAATCAAGCAATTATAATACTTTAAATTGTTTATTCTATCTTAATCTAGCCATGCCTCATAAGAGTACCATTAATAACCATAGAACTGGCATATATATATATAATAATTATTTTAAATCAGTATGGGTCTTCTAGACCCGGCGCGAGTAGTGGAGTTCTAAAATTAGGCGCGAGTGCTGAAAGGTTAAA